ATTTTCTTTAGGTCCCTATAAGATTATCAGTGCCCCCAATCAGCAGGAAGTAGCCTGAATAAAATACGCCTATGTTCCCAAGACATGGACTATGGATATTTTCCTTTGTTTAGAATGTTGGTTACAAGTTGTTATGGATAATAGTCAGGAGGAAAGCTAAATGAAAAATATTAGATTAAGAGTTCTTGTTCTTTTAAAAAAAAGGGGGGGAGTGCTGTGGGACAATGTTTTTACCATGTAAACATTTGTTTCTTGTATTGTATAATAAAATGCTGATTGGCTGGTAGCCAGGCAGGAAGTAGAGGTGGGGCGATGAAAACAGGAGAATTCTGGAAAAAGGATTCTGCAGTCTGCAGTCATGATTGAGACACAGAGCAAGCAAGATGTTGCCTCGCTGAAAAAGGTATTGAGCCATGTGACTAATATAGACAAGAATAATGGGCTAATATAAGTTATAAGAGTTAATAAGAAGCCTGAGCTAATGGGCCAATTAGTGTATAACTAAAAAAAAAGAAGAAGAAGAGAAGCAGCATCAACCAGCATGAGCTCTTTATACAGAGAGCTTAGCTCTCTACACTAACCAACTTGTCTTAAAGATATGCTTCTGTTTCCCTGTTCCTGCTTTACCCAAACCAACCCATCTGAAATGCTGGGTGAAGCATGTGCATGCATGTTCACTCACACACACATGCTCATACATGTGCACACACACACATGTACATGTGCACGTACACACTCATGTGCACATGCACATGGACACACATGTGTGCACTCACACACATGTACACATGTGCACACACACACACACACATACACACACTAGTTTGTGGAATGAGGTGTCCTCTGATACCAGCTTTGCAAGCAATGACCCATTCAATCTTCAAACTTGCTCTTGTGCTGTCTCTTGAGAAAACTAAAGTTGTTCCTTTTTCAAGACGTGGTTTCTCTGTGTAGCCCAGGCTGTCCTGAACTCAGCGATCTGTCTGTCTCTGCCTCTCCAGCGCTGGGATTAAAGACATGCTCCACCACTGTCCTGCTCTTCTTTCTTCTTAAATGTCCTTTCTGACCGTACTGTAGTGAATAGACTCTTAGGACCAGGCCTGTGCATCTGCATTTGGGTAAGCTTGGAATTCAAGGCCAGTATCACCACAGCATTTTCTCCATAGTTCCCTATTTCAGACCTCTGTGTGCTTGGGAGCTTAGAGTCAGGCTTGGATCATCTTCGAACACTAGTGAGCAAGCGACCTTGCTGAGCCTTCTCTGAAACCGCTTCATCCCCTACTCCTGATCCTCAGGAGGATGTAGCTGCTCTTTAACCAGCTGCGCAGAGTGCTGGAGTGGTCTTACTGTTTGTAAAAGATGTGCCCCTGTCCTGGGCTTTGCTCCACTTCATTATGGACGATATCTGTATATTGTTTTTATTTTTTATTTTATTTTATGTATATGAGCATTTTGCTTACATGCACGAATGTGCACCACATGCATGCCTGGTACCTGCAGATAGGGTCAGCTCCCCTTGAACTGACGTTACAGATGGTTGTGAACCACCGTGTAGGTGCCAGATAATTGAATCTAAGTTCCCTGGAAGAGCATCCAGTGCTATTAACCACTGAGCCATCTTTCCAGCCAGTAGCCGCAGGAAGAAAATCCAAGGAGCCAGTGTAAAGCCCTGGGGAGCAGACTCTGTATCCCATTACCAGAGTTCCCTAAAGCAAAGTCCATTCTGGAGTGGCATTCCTAATTGTTCTAGTCTCTGAGCACTGTTTCTGTGAACTTGGAGTCACCCCTAGGATTTGCAGCCCCTCCCTCTCCCCTGTCCGTAGCTGCAGCACCTGTCTCTGCCTGTCTTCCTTCCCCACCGGCCACCACTCTGAGCCATTTAAGCCCTTTACTTTCCTTGTTATGTCTTTAAATGAGGTCTTTTCTCATCCATTTGATTTTGCAGTGATAGGGAACTTCAAGGTGCTTTCAGATGTAGACGATAGATCAGGGTGAGGCAAAGCTAACAATATCACCGTGCACTGTAGTTTTCAAGAGGATTGTATTAAACACAATCGCAGTAACTGGATCTTCATTCTGCAGGCTGCTTCCTGCGGTCACCTACTCTCTACCTCATTAGGCTGAATTGGGCTGATTTTCATCTCCAGTTTGAGTGACATTATCAAAGTCCCCAGGCCTAGAAAAGGCAGTGAGCAGAGGAAATATGCAGAGAGGGAACCCCCATCTAATCACAGGCTATCAATTTTAGACACCTGTCTGTCCCATGAGACCACATTTTCCAACACTAAACACCTCTATTTAAAAACTAGTCCTTGTCTTTTAGCTTGAAGAGAAATTTAATCACTTTAAGAGTTAAAATTCCATAATTTAAATTTAATTTCTGTAAGCTAAAATTCTGAAAATAAATTTTAATAAATGTGTTATCAGAGTATCACATATAGAACTTTTCACTCAATGGGGCATTCACAGATATGATTAAAAAAGGGGGGTTATTGTTATTTCTCTCTTGCTGCCAACAGTCATCAGAGCGCTGACACGAAACAGGTGTACAGTACATCCTAAAGAACTTGAAGTAAAAGAGATTACAAAAAACAAAAAACAAAAGCAAAACCAAAAAGTAAACAAGCAAACAAAACCCTTGAGGATCAGGAAATGTATTTTCAAATTTTACTTGTGCTTTGAGAAAAATCTCTGTTCCTTCTAGCATTCCCACTGGTCACTGGCAGGATGGACCGTCCCCATATAAAGAAGTGTGTCAAAGTTTGGAAGCAACAAAAGTAACGATTATAGTAAAAAATACTGGTTTCTATATCCCCCACCTTTGGATTTCATAAGGAAATTGATATTTTAACTTCCGATCATAATTTTGGTCATTACCAGGTTGAAAATGGCTACCTAAGAGTCTTTTTGGTCTTCTAGTTTCAATCTCTCAACAATGTAGGGCAGTAAAGAATTCTACAAGCGGAGAACTAAAGGAGTGCAGAGTGTGAACTCTTCCAATACACGGAATCTGTACATCATGACTACGTCATGTGTTATTGAGGGCACCACTTCCTCATTCGTTCAATAACCATCTACCCCGTCATGTTTTAGGAGTTATAGAAGCAGTTGGGGTGCCAGGAGGAAGGCAGGCCACTCTGGCCTTTGCCCAGAGCAGCTCGAAGTGGAAGTTTAGAGCATAGATATGCAAAGACTAAAAATGTCAGTGATCTTAGCGAGGCGCCTTTGCCACGAGAAGGAAAATTCTCAGACACAGCGGAACTCAGAAACACAAAACTCAGTCCCGGGAGTACGAGAGTCAGTCCCTTGGAGAAGTCGTGTCCATGCAATCTTCTCTCCTTTTCTTTTCTTTTTAACAGAATGCGGAGCTATCTTGGAAGCCTCCAGGCTTTGCGACAGGAAATGCACAAAGCTGAGTGGTGATCAACAGACTGACAGGCATCTTAAACTCTGTCTATGCAACTAAATGCAAAATATAGCTAAATCTTCATTGCTATGAAATTAAAGGAAAAAAAACCCTATTTCCTCCCCCTATCTAACAGCTAAATTAACTTCGAAGCATGAACTAAATGTACCACATAAACTAAAGTCAAATTTAGTTTTGATCTCCAGAGAGGTGAGTGTTAGGTCTGGAATTGCCAGGTCTCTTACTGGGTAGCTTGGGGAGCAGTTGGAGTCTTTGGCTTGACTGTATCAATAAATTTTTCCTAGTATGCACCAAGAAGTTAACTTCCAAATGAAAAAGACCTAAATTTCATTTAAAAGTTTTGATTCCTATAATTCTCTTTAATGATGTAAAAATCAGGCCTAAACTCTGGTTCTTAGATTGCTTTTTTATTTCTTTTAAAAAGAAGTCTTTGCAGGATGTATCAAAGACTTAATTTCCATATTTATTGCTAGATCCCGCTTTTCAATCACTGTTGGGTTTTCCAGCTATGTTTAGGAACTATTCTTTGCCTTCTTTGGTCATGGCTTCTGAGCTAAGCTTGTCACAACATTAATCAGAGAACCTTCTGGACAATAAGGGGCCTGGGCAGAGGCAACCCTGAAATATGCCACATGCCAGAGCTGGAGAGAGAAGAGATGCTGCATGCTGACAGCAATCAATGTTAGCATCAAAGGCGCCATGGTGCAGCTGTAATGCATACGGACCAAGCTGCATAAGCAATCTGACTCCTGTCTGGCTCAAATGGCTCAAGCCAGGAGCCCTTCTCTACCTTGCTGTAGAGACCTGTTTGTTATCCTTCTGTCTATATAAGGTTTAGTTATAGCTCCTGGTACTGAGGAAGACAGATTAAAAACGGCTCCTCTTTAGGCAGCTTGCGATTCTATCCAAGTGAAGGAATGGCTGTGATTCTAGGATCGTTAGGTGAACCCTGACTTGATTCATGGATGTCAAACTGTAGTTTCACACAGTCCAGTAAGCACAGCAATTTGTTTCTTTGGGGAAGTGTATGGGAGAGTCACTGTGAAAAACAGCCAGTCTTTGGGCTGGGTAAGTAGCTGACTTGATAAGCTATTGGCTGTGAGAGCATGGGGACCTGAATCTGTCAGGCTCTAGAAACTACATATAAAAGTTGAGTGTGGTGGTGTGTACTAGCAATTCTGAGACCAAAGATGCCGAGAAAGACAGATTCCCTGGGGTGACTGCCAGGCAGCTTACGTAATTACTTGACAAGTTCAGTTCCAGACCAGTAAGAAATTCTGTTTTTTGTTTGTTTGTTTTTTATTTGTTTTTAGGGAAAAACAAATCAAATAAGCAAACAACCAAACAGTGCTCCAAGAATGACGCCTAGCCTATGGCTCTCACATGTCCTTAGACACATGAACACACAACACAAAGTGAGACAGTTAGTCTCACTTTCTGTTTGAAATATACCCTGTGCCACTCGTGAATTTGAAAAGCACCCTAGTTACTGAAAGTGACAGTTTAATTTAGCCCTACTTTATTGTTTTTGTTTCTTCTCATTAAATAAAAATAAAATACACAAGTGCACACACACACACACACACACACACACACACTAAACTAGAAAGTCAATTATTTAACATGCATTTTCTAATGAAACGTCTAAGAAGATTCCCTGCTTGCATTTTGGAATGGCAAGATAGTTGCCACATCTGCTTCTGAATTAAGGCATTATTGGTAAGTTTCCTTCAAGATTACTGCAATATTTTCATATATTCTTCCCCTCCTGTCTTGACTGAGTTCTTCCACTGGCTCCATTTATTTTCCCGAGACACTCAGCTGTACTCCCAGTGGAATACATTGCATTCCGCCATCTCCGGTGGGGTACTTTTCACCTCCAATGTGCAAATGGGAATTCACTCCTTGAAATATGTTACAATGGAAGGAAAAAGAACAAAAATAACAACAATAACGAAAACATGTCTAGTAGGCAAAAGTACAAAAAATAGGAGCTGAGAGCTTATTGAAATCTTCTATTATAGCAATAAACCAATGTGTAAATAATGATGATGTCATACACTTCAGAGGCCAAAATGAAGCTTCTATGTTTAGAAAATGAGTAGGTGAAAGTTTTCATCCTTAGGAAGGAGCCACGAACAGAGACCATGAGCAGAGTTGGGTGTTCTTTTATTTTAGTATTATTTATTGCTCAGCTACTTCCTTCAAGATAAGCCTTAGTGTGCCAGTAATACATATCCAATCACTGACCCATTCCTCATTTGCATTCTGTCATAAGATAAGAAATATATTTGTTCTTTATTCTTAGCCCTGGACACATAACTCCTAAATTTTGTAACATTCTTAATAATAAGAGTAACAGGGATGCCTTTGTTCAAATTGTTTGGAACACAGAACATTTAAATTCTTGGATTTTTTAGTTAATGAAGTGTGTTTTATTATTTAAAATAAGAATTTAATGATACCCAACTTTTGTCTAGTGTGGAGAGTAGTATGATGACATTACTCAGTCTCAGGATGTAGCTGGTCACTAGAGAAACCAAGTAATTATGTGATTAAAATTTTCATCATCTACTGACCTTCAAAAAGGGAATATTGAGATTCATTCTTTATACAAACTTTTTTCATTTTTACTATATATATATGTATATATATTATTTAAAACTTTACATAAAGTATATAGCTATTTTGTCTGAATGTATAGCTGTATTCCACTTGTGTGACGGGCACGTGGAGAGGCCAGATGAGGAAATCAAATCCCCTAGAACTGAAGTTATAGATAGTTGTAAGTCACCCATGGGTGCTGCGAACTGAACTCTGGTCCTCCGGAAGAGCCACCGGTGCTCTCAGCTGCTGACCCACATCTTCAGCTCCTCTATAGAAACTCGGGAGCAGTGAGGTTTGATGGGCTTCCTTGTTGCTGAAAATATCCCGCTTTTGGGAAGGTGGTTCTCCCTGAGGAAGGCAGGAAAGGTCCTGGAATCCCGTCTCTCCATCACCTGCCATATTCTGCTTCACACAGTGCTTCCGTTCAGCGGTGCTGTGTTGATCCACCATAGTAAACATAAGCCAAATGTTTCCACAAGTTCTGTGGGTTAATAGAGCACATTATCAACCATGAGGAGACAGTTAGGAGAACTGTCAGAATTAATGAACTATCAATCAGAAATTCTAATTATCTAGACACTGTAAGAGTGGACGTTTCCTCAGAAATGTAGAAATAAAACTCCCATATGATTCAACAATTCCACTGCTCAGTATATAGCCAAAGGAAAAGTAAAATTGTGTATCAAAGAAATATGTGTACTTTCATGTTTATTGTCATATTATTAATAATAGTCAAGATAGGGAATCACTGTGAGTGTCCTTTGACAGATGAATGAATAGTGTGTGTTCACAATGGAATATTTTTCAGCTACAAAGAGAAAAAACTCCTGTTATTTGCAGTTACATAGCTGAAACTGGGGGACAGTTATATTAAATGAAATGATTCACACAAACCTAATTCTCATGTATTTTCACATTATGTGGAAGCTGAAAAAAACCTATCTCAGAAGCAGGGAAGAGGAAGCAGAATGGTAGTCAGGTAAAGTTAGGAAGAATCATATAGGAAATGGAAAGAAGATAGTAAGTCTATATAGGTGTGTAGTTGAACAGGAGTGCCTTAAATGTTGTATAGCACGTTGGGGTAATTATGTTTGATGACACATACTTTTATATTACAGTGCAATAGACAGGACCCAGAATGTCACTAACACAACGAAATAATAAATGTTTGCAGTGATCCATGTGCCGATTGCCCTGGTCTGAGCAGCCCAATAAATATGGGTATCTATATTCCACATTGTGTATATTATGTATACTTACTAGGTGTGAATTAAAGAACAAAAAGTAAATCATATGCTTAGTATCATTTCCTGTTATGGCTATAAAGTGTTCTGATGGAAGCCACTCAAAGAGAAAGGGTTGATTCTGGCTCAGAGTTCAAAGCGACAGTCCATTATGGTGGGGAAGTCAGGGCATCAGGAGCATTAGGAACATGAGGCAGCTTCTCACATCTCATCACATCTGGAGAGCTGAGAGGAATAAATGCATGCTATGTCCAGATAGGTTTCTCCTTTTAATGCAGTCCATGATTCCAACTAAAAAATGGACCTTCCCACAGTGAAGATGGAATCTTCTACATTAAGCAGCCTAAGCAAGAAAATCACTCATTAACATTCTCAGAGGCTAACCTTAATCTAAATAATCCCTTCAAAGTGGCCTTGTAGGCTTGTCTCCTTGTTGATGACAGATCTGTCAAATTAATGATTAACACTAGCCATCACACTTAGTAAATATAAAGTTTAATGTGAGGTATTGGCTCTTTTCCTTCATATTTTATTTCTTCTAAAATTTTCAGTAATTTGGTTGTCTATGGCTTGGATATGAAATGTCCTTCCCAGGCTCCTGGTTTGAATACTTGGTCCACGGTTGGGGTAGTGCTAATTTGGGAGGTTGAGAAAAGTTTAGGCAGTGAGGTCTAATTGGAGGAAATGGGCTATTAGGGGGCTTTGGAGAAGTAGTATCGCTGGCCAATTCCCAATTCCTGTTTCCCTGTTTCCTTCCTAGGTGGACTTGAAATGAACAGCTGGACTGCTTCACATGCTCCAGGCACCATGATGTCTTTCTTGCTCAAGCAAACAGGACCAAAATCACCAAAGATAGAACTCACTGAAACCATGAACAAGAACAAAACCTTCCTTGCTTATGGTGCCTTTGCTAGGCATGTTAGTCATGTTGACAAATGGTCACTGATATACAGTTTTACCACCCATGTGAATAAAGCAAATATAAGATAAAATGATAGTGCCTGGAAGATGCAATTTGGTTGGTGATGAATTGAATTTTGTGTTATATAAAATGCAGATGAGTATTAAGTCATAAGTGGGCAGAGGAAAGTTTATTGACTAATACTAAATGAGTGTAGCAAGATATAGCAAAAGACATTGAAATGGCAAGGGTGAAATGAAGATTGTTTTGTGTGTCACAAGATGAGATACACATTACTGACCCATTTCTGTCCTACATCATATGCTTGTTTCAACCATTAAAGTGTGTATTTGATCCAATGACGGACTCCTTTAATATCTCTTAATACCTCTTTTAATATCTCTTTTAATATCTCTTCTATGGAGAGTAAGCCTTCTAGTCTCCACATTGTGAAAAAACATAATCAGAACAACATCTAACAAAGAGAATGTACTCACATGGAACTTTCTGTTATCAGGACTTTTTCAGACTGAGAAGCCGGAGATAGTGTCTACACTTTCTGATTACCAGCCACCTCCTAATTGTCACTGTTTCTGTAGATTCTCCAGAGGAGATCATTTATTGAAGTTAGAAGTTTCATTTCTGAGCATCAGTAGAACCATGTTAGTAAGAGTGACAAGAACAACAAGGATGCAGGTATAGAGAGTGGAGGCTGAGAATGCAGTGTGTCCCTGGCGTGCAAGCTAAACTGCCTTCCCTATGTCACCCCATCCAATCCTCTCAATATTGCCACATGGAATGAGCTATGAGTCCCACCCTGCCCTCTTCCTTTCAAGAGACATGTAACTTGTTCAAAGCCACCCAGCTATGAAAGTGCCTCAGCTGGGGTTGCCATCCCAATCAGCTTGATTATAAGACTTGAGGTTTTGACCAACATGATGGTGGGTGCCTATAATCTTGACCCTCAGGAAGCTGAGGCAGGGGAGTTACAAGTTCTAGGAAGCCTGAAATAACCACCAAGCTCCTGTCTCAAAAACTTTCAAAAAGACCTAGAAAGCTGGATCATTGATTAAGAGCAGTGGCTGCTCCTACAGAGGACCTGGTTCAGTTCTTGGCACCCATGTGGTGACCTGTAATTGTGGTTGCAGATTTGACTCCTTCTTCTGAATTCTGAGAGTTCCATGCATGCACATGGCACACAGAGATACATGAAGGCAAAGACCTCACACACATAAATACATTTTGTGTTTTTAAAAATTAAATATTTCACTGCAACAAGAAGCAAATTTGTAAGTGAAGGAGGAGAGAGCAAATATTTTAGACTTTCTGGGCCAAGAGATAAAATTGACAATGATGTTATATGGATATTGTGATGGTTAATGTTGACTGGTATTTGACAGGATCTGGAATCACCGAGGAGACAAACCAGGGTTTAGATTAGTTGAAATGGGTAGATTCATGCTAACTGTAAGTGGTACCATTCCAAAGACTGGGTCCTCTACTGGATGATGTAAGAAAATGAGATGAATGGTAGAATTCATCACTCTTAGTCTCTGCCTGCCAACAATCTGAGACCAGCGACCTCATGGGTCTACGACCCTGCCTTCTCAGACCATGAGCCAAAATAAACTCTTCCTTCTTTAAATTGCTGTGATTAGGAATTTTGTCTCAGCAGCAAGAGGAATAACTAATACAGTTACTCACATAAAATAGAGAAAACTAACTTGGTGCATATTTTATTGACAAAATGCTAAATTTTATTTATGAACACTTAAATTGGAATTTTATATAATATCTCCACATAACAAAGTATTATTGTCCTTATTTATTGTCAATTATTAAAGCATAAAAAGCCTCTATTAATTGGCAAGTTGTGTGGACAACGAAAAGCAGTAGGAAGGGATCAATCAGATGACTTCTTTCAGAGATGAACTGACTTGGGTACAGAGTCACGGACATGAGTGAAAAGGATGTTGTAGTAGTCACAAAAGGAAAATTGGTTGCCTGAAATTGTGGATGAGAATATGAATTGGTTATAAAATTCTAAGACAGAAAGATTCAGAGAGTTTATTTAGCTGAGACTATTCTGTAAATTCATCTTCATCTTGGGTGGTGAGCTTTCCATTTGAATCCAACATTGTGAAAAATGCTTAAGAGAGAATGAATGGAATTCTTGACATTGGAGCTTGCCTGGGAATCCAGCATGTGTTTGTTTAGCTGCTGGTTAAGTTTATCTGTTTCAATTAGATTGGAAATCTGCCCACTTTGGTCTCTCTTGCTGTAACCTACTTACTTTGGTAGTGGGAAGACTAGGCAAAAGGGAAGAGCAAACCAAAGACAAGAAAAGGATGGGAGAGCTATACTCATAACCCATATTCTTTTCCTTCACCTCCTTGAGAGTGTTAGTTCCATCACCTTTTTTGGCAAATGCATGTACTGTAAATATTCTGTAGTGTTTTGGAATTCAGTCAATTTCAGGAGAGGCTGAGAGATGGAAAGAACATGTAGAAGAGACCCAGGAGTTGGCCCTCATTCCTAGTTGGACAAGTGACCTTCAGTTGGTGTTAAACTGTGGTGCTCTCTGTCACCCTCTGTAAAACAAAGGCAGAAGTCAAAATTTTAGTCCTTGTGAGCTGGGTTAGAGGTAACAATGACTGCTCTGTAGAACACCTTAAGGGTGGTGAATGTCAACGTTGTAACTGATCACATTTTTTTCTCTCAACATCAAGCACACTCAAACTCTCCTGAAGAAAACAAGTTTTTGGCATCTCTTGGGGACGCTGCACCGGATTTAGGGAGACAGTATGGTGCTTTCATGGACTCAATATCAAGTACATTAAGCAAAATGAAAGCACAATTAGTAAATCCTGTGCTTGGAGGAACAGTTTAAGACAACATAGTGGCAATATCCACATACTCAGGGATTCATACATCTTCTTAGCTTGCAGATATCCGTCCCTCTAGGGTTTCAGATTCATAAAAATGCCAACACATACACATATGTTCACACACACAGAGACATGGAAAACAATGTGAGATCGAGTCCTGACTCCACAATTATTAGTGGGCTTTAAATCAGGAAGTTACTTTCTATCATCAAGTCTCAGTTTTAAAAGGTTCAAGTGCTTTGAGGCCCAAAGCTATTCATTAAATCTTTCCTTCACAAATGTTTGCTAGGTTTGTTGTGCATACCAGATGCTAAAGATTAAAATAATATATAGTACTTAGTCATATCCCTTAATAGGCTTACAAATATGAGAGTATAGAATGACAAACACACATGAAGCAGAAATCTCATGCTGTGCACATGAGAGATAGGACTGTAGAGCACGGTAAGCATACCTTAAGCTGAATAAATGGGCAACGAGCATGCTTGTCTCAGGAGAAGTAGCAATGAGTGAATGATTAGGCAAGGGATGCTCAAGATAAACATATGGCCCAGGTAGAGGAGCAGCATGGGTAATGGAAGAAGGAGAAGCAGAGGGAAATGGAGAGAGAGAGAGAGAGAGAGAGAGAGAGAGAGAGAGAGAGAGAGGGAGGGAGAGAGAAGGAAAGGGAAGATGATGAGGAGGAGGAGAAGGAGGAGAAGGAGGAAGGGAGGAGGAGGAAGAAGTTGCATCCTTGGAAAATGAAGTGAGAGGACTGTTGGCAAATAAGGTGCTGTGATCCATTTCTCTTCAAGACAGTTTCAGTTCACTGATACATGATCATTCTCATTTGCTGGGATGTGAGTCATAAGGTTTGCTCTCACTGAAGATGGGGTAGCGTGTGTGTGTGTGTGTGTGTCCACAGTTATATCAGAGTACAAATATTAGTATGCCTGTATAATACACAGATGTACCTCCTGCCTATGAGGGCAGTTTAGTGAAACTCCTGAAGAATTGAGGATGGGGTGTGGGATGTGAGCTGCACCCTAGGGAAACCGGTCAACACCTGTCTCCTGTAGGCGATGGACGCTAGCATCACAGAGGAGTTCTGTTGGCAGAACATGTCCTTGAAATATTGCGAGGGGATGACTCATGCCCTGAAAACTCTCTGGAAAGTCCACAGCCCCAAGCTAGCTGACAAAGATCAGTGATGATCTCAAAGGGAACTCCCTGATCTATGGCAGCTCTCAAAGGTGTCAAAGTCCTGTAAATTAAAGCTTCAGGAAATCCCAACAGTCTGGGAAGCCCCGGGACAGCTGGGATAGAACTTGATGTAGTCACCAATGTGAATCCCTGAGACCAGAACAATAGGGAAATATTAGTGAATTCCCAGAATGGTGTTTAATTGATTTTAATTACAAGTCTTGGTCTCTTCGTTGTGACAAACGTGGCATGGTAATGTAACGCTAGCAGCAAGGGGAGGTAGATAAAGGAAATTCCTGTATTATCTTTGCAACAACAACAAAATCTAAAATAAAACACCTGTTTGTTCATGCTTCTTCAATACAGGCTTTCTCTGTGCAGCCTTTGATTTCCTGGCACTCACTCTGTATACCAGACTGGCCTTGATCTCATAGAGATCCACCTGCCTCTGCCTTCCAAGTGCTGGGATTAAAGGTGTAGACCACCAATGCCTGACTAAAATATTTATTTTCAAAATACAATAGTCTGTCTTCAAAAGCGTAGGTGAATGAAATGTAAATAGGTTGGCAAAAAGCACACTGTTTTATAAATATCCGAGTATCCGAGAGAGATCCTTGCTGAGAAACTTGAGTATTGCTCAGATGGGACCACATTAAATTGTATTAGAGGTATAGGTGTTCAAAGAGAAATAGCGAGATAGGGGCAAAGCAGAACAGAGCTGAGTTTGTAAAACTTTACAAAACTGGAATATGTGGCTACCTCTGCAGGTAGGCCTACAAAAGTAGGCCAGAGGACCCGTGTCCCACTAACCAAAGCACACACTCTTTATGGAGGTTTAAGATGCTAGCAAGACATGACATGTGACATTTTGTATAGAACTATGTGTAATGGAGCATGCGTGGAAAAAACCTCCACTACACAAACTAGCCTCCAAGCCTAAATTCTTTATATAGCATGGCCTCTGTGCCATGAGGTTCCCTTAGCCGCCTCATACTTCACCACCCATGTAAATATCCAATCTCCTAACACGGTTCCAGCTTCTGCTGTGACCTTGTGTCTCTGCTCTGTCTTTTGTACCAATACACAAGAACCTGGAACCCCCCCACAGAAGTTCCCTCAAAACTTGGCATTCATTGGCAGAAGGTCTGTGGAGTTACAATTTCCCAGCTCTCATTTTACTCGACACATAATTCAACATGATCTTATTTGAATCTTTCCTCTGATAATCTGGACAGCGACTCTCTCTGTTATAAAACAACGACTCTGGAATAGTGGTGTTTTT